TTATTTTTTGTTTACCATCAGGCACTGATGTTGGAACAAAAAAGCACGGAAGCGGAGGAGAAGAGCAGGACCAGCATTGTTGAACACATCCTGCAGTCAGTTTAATATTATGATAGGGCCCCCATTCATCGACCATTCTAATCACTTGAAGGGCACCCATTATGCTTGAGAGTCGTTGGGAATGTATCCCAATCGATCTTAGTTAGCCGAGGAGTGTCATCGTTCTATGCTGGTTTCACACGTCCATTGTTGGTGCTCTCCTCATTCTTTGCGCTTACGCCCTCATCCATGTCATGCCTTTGTCCCTATCTGTTGTTTGGCAGACTTACACGTTCTTAGCTTTTCAGGGTGTGGAAGGATGTACCAGAAAATATGTAGGTTGAGCAAGCGCGGCAGTCAGCAGTCCGGAAAGGAAATGTTGGTAAAGAAATTGATTTGTCAAAAATAAGCTGGTACAACACATTAGACGCATGAATGGTATCATTACGCCCGTGACACAAACCCATCACAGAAGGCTTCCCTGTTATGGCTACCCCAGTCTCGTCACCGCCAGCATTCCTTCGCAACTGTGACATGTTTGATTGCCAGACAAGGTGGGGCCCCAGGCTCGATAGCTAAGCCAGTTGATTGCACCAGGCTGACAAGTGTTCATGGTAGGTGTATCTAATGTCAACCCTGGATTAAAAAAAACCAAACGGCTGTTTAATTGGGGGATACCATTTAAGTATTGGATGAAATGACTAGTGGAGGAGCACCCCCCTAATTAATAAACCATGGTAGATCTTACTCCGGGGTTGACATTACAACAATTAAGGGGTCCGTTTTTTCTAACTTCTGACTTGGGGGGCACCACCCTGCGGATACGGCAAACTCACGATAGATCATTTACTAGGGGGTCCCTATGGGTTTTCCCTCTTGGTTTGCTGACTTTCCTTTGGGCTTTGATCATTCCCAATATATTGGATAGCATAAAACCTGGTTGGTGTTTTCATTTTTTTAATGTTTCATAATATATGGGAATAACTATGATTATTTATGAATAATATAGAAGATATAGATATAGGAGCATGCCATCTGGTTATTTAACATAGCCATGGGAAATGACCCATAGAAATAGATGGTAAAAACCTATAAAAAATGGTGATTTTCCATGGCGAACTGTTAAATAACCAGATGGTAATTCCGAATATATTGGATAGCATAAAACCAATCATCAACAAGCTAATATATCTCTCATCAAGTGATATACAGTACGCCATTCTATCCCTTCGTTGTTTATTGATGCCTTTGTCTAATAAAAATCAAATGAGAACCATTTTTAAGTGATAATGGGTTATTCTAATATAGATCATTTATAAGTGAACCATCACGATTTAACCCCTAATAATGGGATACATCATTAATGGATCCCCATGGACACCGCAGGAGAGCGGAGACCCGTGCCAGCAAAGCGGAGTCGCGCCTGAAATCCTCGTTACAGGAGCGACGCCGGCGTGTCATAGCTATTGAAATGGCCATAGAAATCGTTGATTTACCAAAAAAAAATGGAGATGTTACATAGTTTTGTTAGGTTACCACAGGGTATCAGTTTAATGTCAGCTGACTCTTACTATTAACTATTGCCAATGCCTTGCAGGTATATATCATGTCCCTAAAATATTCACACGGGATCCCCGAAACTGGTCTGGAAGATTATCTTCCATGGTTTTGGTGGTTTCTCTTGGCCGTTTCGAGGTCCCATGTTAAATTTGGAGCATGTCTAAGTTGACAACGGAATTGATTTCCACATATATTTGGTACTTGGGCGGGACCTTGCACTGTAGTTGGGTTGGGTCTTCTTAAGTTCACGTGAATGGCATCATAAATTTTGCCGTGCATGCTGGACCCCAAGGACCCCTCCTCTCTATGGTTGCCCACGGAGACAGAAGTACGGGTAAAAGATGGGCGCCCCGGTAAATCTAAAAACGCATCACAACAGCATCTCACGATTGTACCAGGATGAGACAAACCACATTCATCATGATACTAATTCTCTTCTGGTGTCATTTGAAGCTAGTGAAGATGCGCAATTTCTAGTGACTGGAGGGGTCAATGAGGCTACTCCCATTTAGGTGACGTATCGGACATGGAGAGGAAACCAGCACTAAAACCATGCCGACCTCCATAGGACCCGATCATGCTCAAGTTCGGCTCTGAAACGGTGGAGGCTGGGTCCGCCGGAAAACCGTTGCGGCAAAATCAGATCAAGGCTCTTCAGCATTTCCATGGATGGTGGCGTCACCCGAACAAATTCGGGCTGGTGATTTGGTTGTTTTCCCTGAAAATCCACCGCAAACCGGGCCTTAGAGATACGGTGATTTTTGATCAGCGGGGCCCCCACCAACGCAACGCCAGGTAGGATGCACATCAACAAATCTACAATCAGGGGAGGGGCGGAGCTTCTTGTTGGTATGTTACTCCAACATAATTCGGATTATTCTGGAGGGATATCCCTGATAAGCCCGGTGGTATAACACTATTGAAGCCCATCAACAGTTGGGTCTTTCTGATGCCACCCCCCCACACAACATGCCATAAGTCGTGTTAAATATCCCGGTATATCATGAATCCCCCCAAATCATTCCCAATTTAATCTAAGCAATCAACCACAATATCCTCCAAGTAAGCGAGCAACAATCCATCAACCATCTGCTGTTAATCAAAATACTTGGTTGGTTGTAACCTATCAAGGATCATGTTTCAAACATATCCCACTTGCATTATTAAGTGTAAAAGATATAAAAATCTGAGCAGAAAATTTCAGAAAATCACTGGCAATTTGGTTTATTCTGTATTATCATATCCGAACAAACCAGTGTACTGCCACCGCCAACTGATCTATCACCCATAAACCACCATTTGGATATGGGTCAAAAGTGGGCACCCCAAGAATTAGATGGTTAATACCAAACATTGCTTCGGAGAGCTTCGCATGGAGGATGTGGCAGATAAAAAACCTTCCTCTGACAAGGCGGAAGACAGGCGTCAGTTTTGGCTGGCTGCATTTCGCGGTGTCATCTGTGCAACGAAGGGCAACTGCGCCAGGTTCGAGGCATATTTTGACATGGCAGGGTGGTGGACCTATGATGTCTTCATCGTTGCCGTGGATATTGGCATCGTTGTGCCTGATTGGAACTTGACGACTGGCGCAGTTCATTTCTGCTTTTTGATGAAACAGCACCAAAAAGATACTTGCAAGACTTTGCTTCGATTGGAAGAGCAAGAACGCAAGATGACTCGTCACGCTTACAACGGTCGTCACTGCTGGTATTGATCCGAGAGAAAGGTATCCATTGGATGGGCGTAGGGTAGTCACAGCGCACAAAGAGGAAATACTAAACAATGACAATGGTTAATACTAAACATATACCAGTAGTACCGCACAAGGCGGTGGCGGAAGTTTCAAAAATAGGAGACCTATAGGAGAGGTTGGTTGTTGTGAATCAGGGATGGCAGAGCGAAGCCACTGATGGACTGAAATGTCTAGCGGTCTACCTGTCTATCTGTCTATCTATCTATCTGTCTATCTATCTGTCTATCTGTCTACCTGCCTTTCTGTGGTGCAGTGTCATTCAGTGTAATGTAGTGTAGTGTAGTGGAATGTAGTGGAATGTAGTGTAGTGTACTGTAGTGTAGTGTAGTGTAGTCTAATTTAGTGTAGTGGAGTGTAGTGGAGTGTAGTTGTAGTTGTAGTTGTAATGGAGTGTAGTGTAGTGTAATGTAGTGAAGTGTAGCGGAAGGTAGTGTAGTGTAGTGTAGTGTAATGTAGTGTAGTGTAGTGGAGTGTAGTGTAGTGTAATTTAGTGTAGCGGAGTGTAGTGTAGTGTAATGTAATGTAGTGTAGCGTAGTGGAGTGTAGTGTAGTGCAATGTAGTGTAGTGTAATGTAGCGAAGTGTAGTGGAAGGTAGTGTAGTGGAGTGTAGTGGAGTGTAGTGGAGTGTAGTTGTAGTTGTAATGTTGTGGAGTGTAGTGTAGTGTAATATAGTGAAGTGTAGTGAAATGTAGTGTAGTGTAGTGTAATTTAGTGTCGTGGAGTGTAGTGGAGTGTAGTGGACTGTAGTTGTAGCTGCATTTGTAGTTGTAGTTGTAGTTGTTGTGTAGTTGAGTGTAGTGTAGTGTAATGTAGCGTAGTGTAGTGGAAGGTAGTGTAGTGTAGTGTAATGTAGTGAAGTGTAGCGGAAGGTAGTGTAGTGTAATGTAGTGTAGTGTAGTGGAGTGTAGTGTAGTGTAATGTAGTGTCGTGTAATGTAGTGAAGTGTAGTTGTAATGTAGTGTAGTGGAGTGTAGTGTAGTGAAATGCAGTGTAGTGTATGTGAGTGTAATTGAGTGTAGTGTGGTGTAGTGGTGGTTGTAGTTGAAAATTCGACAAAACCCCAACGTTTTGCTCACTTTTGACAAGGTGCACAATCCCTTGCGCCTGCCACGCGAAGCGACATCTGAACGTCCAAAAGTGCTCCGTACCCCTCAGTTTTTTTTGCACTTTTGAATTCGACATGTGCTTCGCGCCATAACGGCGTACACTTTTTCGACATCTCAACTTCCAAAAGTGGTCTGCACCTGGTGTGTTTTGTACATTTTGACTTCGACATGTGCTTCGCGCCACAACGGCGTGCACTTTTTCGACATCTCAACTTCCAAAGGTGCTCCGAGACCTGCTTTGTACATTTTGACTTGCAAATGTGCTTCGCGCCGTAACGGCGTGCAATTTTTCATCTCTCATCTGGCCAGCTGGCTCCGCACCCGCCGCTTTAGCGAGCCTACTTTTCGACCTTCCGGAGCCCCAAATCATTGGAAAAACACAGAGTTTCGCGACTTTCCTACCTTTTTGCGCATCTGCATCTGCTTTCTTCTGACTCTTTCTCTTCTACTCTTCTCGCTTCTAATCTTTCTCTTCTCTCTGCCTCTGCCCTACTCTGCTTTTCATCTGTCCACATTGTCGGAAGTTTGACTTCTAAACTTCCTTCGACTAAACTCTGTGCTCCCATGGTGCTTAATTCTTGACCCGTCCCCGTTGAAGGGCTCTGGCTCCACGACTCTCAGGTTCGCTCCACAAGTTCCAGGGCCAAAGACACCGTGGCCCCACTGCCGGACCGGGGTCGCCCAGTGGGCAAATTTTCAGGTGAAATTTCTGGGAATGGTTTACAACCATAAATAACCATAGACCCTGAAAATAACCATAGTTTAACCATACTTTAAGAAAAACCATCAATATAATCTATATAACATACTCTCTGGAAAATTGAATAACATAGACTCTGATTTTTTTACCCATTCTTAGTGGAAACTAGTCGTCCAACTCCTATCTGCCAGGGTCTATGTTAATCTGGGCGGTGGTTTGGAACCTGAATTTTATTTTTCCATATATTGGGAAGAATCATCCCAACTGACTAATATTTTTCAGGGGGGTTGAAACCACCAACCAGTTTAAAAAACCATCGCTTGGCAACTACAATAGCTGGTACAAGGTGGTGCCCCCCAAACATTATTTTTATTGGTATAAAAGCCCCATTAACTATAAACTATAGTTTTTGATAGCTACAATAACTGAGTAGTGGCTGCTGAGCCCCTGCTGGTTGATGATTAGTTCGGGGATTGTACTACCCAATGGTCATTGGGGATTCTACTAATCCAAAATCCAATAGGGAAATGCCTAAAAACCAGCCAGTATAATGGAATGATAGAGGAATTTGAACACTGCTCAACTGGTATATGTGCTCGATGTATCTATTTTATAGGTATACTTCATGGTTTCACAAGAACTGGTGTTTGTGATGGGTGTATCTATAATTAGATGCGGTTTTAAGCCAACTTGGAACGAGGGGTTTAGGGAGGCCCTTCCTGTAGCCTTTTTGGTGGTTCACTATCCAGTTGCGAATGGAGGGAGGTAAAGGTTCCATGGGTACCTTTATCGAAGAGTTTCCCAACCACATGATAGTTTAATTCGCTGTGCCACTGCTGGCAACCTAGTTGTTTAAGCATGTGGCTCAGATGTTGGAATCATATTACCAAAAAATAGTCGTGGGAATACCCAATCTTAGCCATGTGCTCCATGCTTGGCATGAATAGACAGGGTTCTTGTGTTAAGTCGTCTTGGTGAATCCTCAACTTTTGCAGGTAAAGCTATCGGTGTGTAATTGTTTCAATCGGAGGAGTTTCCATTGCCAGCCAGCTTCCAGGCTGGATGTACGGAACAAAAATGAAAAAACATAAGTCATGGCTTGGGGCTCGGTGGTTTGAAATCCAAGCATCCGTTGCTGCATACCCCAAAGATTCCACATCACCAAGCCAAATCACCAGTTAACCGTTGGTGAACATTCTGGTGTTCAAAGCGTTTAAGGTTGGCCCCTGATTTTTGAAGATGAAACCCCTGCTTTTTGATGGTTGAAGCCACATGCCATGGATCTTGGTGGAGCTGTTTGGAGCCGTTTGGATCGAAGGAAAGGTTTGCAACTCAAGTTTTTAGCCATAAAAACTTGGCGAATGTCATGGTGAATTCCCAGCTGCGTATCCCCGTGGCATTTCGCAGGAAGGGAGCCCCGCTGGTCGACGTTCCTTGCTGTCGGGTCAACTGCATAGTGGCTCGGGCCCCCAGGGGCCCCAGGGACCCGTGACAAATGTGGAGGCTGAGCCAACAAGGACAGGAATGCATAGGGGTTTCATGGAAAGCTATGGGATTAACATGGGGTTTAGATGGGAGGAGTGGCGTTTTCATCATTTTGGTAATTTAAGGGTGGTTTATCACTGATGAACCCATAATCCATGGTGATTGAACTGGAGATTTCATGGGAATACAGCGGCGTATTTGATCGGATTTACCTTAGGGCATGGAATCACAGTTCGTCATGGAAAATGGCCCGTTTAGATCCATGATTTACCCATTAAGAATCGTGATTTTCCATAGGTTTTTGTAGGTTTACCTGAGGGTATATATAACCACTAATATAATTTACCCATTAAACATTGTTATTTCTTTAAGGCTATGCTGTTTCACCACAGGGTACCTTTAGAAAATTGGCGAATGGTATCGAAGGTTAGCACAGCATGGCAAAGTGACTCATACAGCAACGGAACATGGTTGTTTTCAACCCCTAGTTTTTACCCAACCAACTTTATAATGAGAACTTCTTTCCATTTTCGAAAGATAGGGGATAGAAACATGCGTAGCATTCGGGAAGGCCACTTGGAGTGGGAGGAAGTGTGAAATCAAAGATCAAATTAACCACAGATAGCCACTAATAAGGTTGTAGTGACCAGAAGGCGGTGTTCCCCCTGCTTGGTGCCTTAGTTTTTCAACCATAGTAGCTATAGATAAATCTACCACAAACCCAACAATTAGTGGAGTTATGTAGGTACCAACTTAGCTAACTAAATCATACTAGACCCCATTCTAAATCATATACTACACCCCATTCTAAATCATTTTAAACCCCATTAAATCCCATTAAATCCCCATAAATGGGGCGACCACCGCGACCACCGCAACCTGTCAGCCATCGCTAGGCACCTCTCCGGAACCCTCCGAAGCAGAGGTCGTCCGGATGCCCGGAGTGCGTGGACCTCTGATGAGGATTTTTAATTATATATATATATACATACATATATATATATATGTATAAATTAGAACTCACATTTGTTTAATAGGTAAATCAACTATAAATTGGACGTTTAAATATGGATATAGTATATAGCCATATAATAGGGATTTGTTCAAATGGAAATAGAGACATAGATATAGTAATAGGGGTAATTATACCATTTATTAATAGGACAATATGAGATTTATTGCCAGCTTAATAGGGATGTACCTGTATAATCGGAAAGTGTATCATTTATTAATAGGAAACAATTTGGATATTATTGATATTGATATACCTCTGATAAACTGACATAACTATGGAAAATCACCATTTTTAACGGGTAAATCATCGAACTAAATGGTCCATTTTCCATAGCAAACTGTTACATTACCAGCCAGAGGGTAACCTTCCATCTGGGTAAATGATAACGACCTCGCTGTTCTCCCGAACCCTGGAATCATGGTTAAAACGGCCGCAAGTTTCAGGTTAGTGAAATATTATGGTTTACCCAGATAGTTGTTGATGCGACTTTCATATGGATACCTCTGAATATGGGTTTGACTGACAATATGCCAATATGTTTTCATGTGGCTTTCACTGAAAATCGGATACCTCTGAATCTGTGCTTGATGATCATTCTCCCCATGAAAAATGGCAGTTTAAATTCATTTGGAAGGCATACCCCAGTTTCAGACAGACCCATATGCTTGGGATGGGTCGAAACCTATTGTTGCCATATGACTGGAGGAATAAACATACATCAGGCCACTATTTGGGGGTACCTAGGGCATCAGGTGTTTGACCCCTAACCATATATTTGGGATGGTCAAAAAAAACATGCACAAAAAGAACAGTTTTTTGGATGTTACATTGGAAGGCCCCTAACGCGTGGGAGTGTCTTCAAAATTTGGCTTTTGACATCAAAACTGCCATGTGAAGAAGGAAAAGGATGATACAGCCGTGGATTTGGAGGTATAGGCTTTGCACACAACCCCATTTATGTCTGGGATAGGTCAAAACGAACCAACATATATGCTGATGTCCAAGATTGGATAAACGGACGTTCTGCATTTGAAACCCATAGATTTGGTTTGAAAACCATGGTCTTCGCGGTCGATTTTTCCTTAAACCAATCCAATGCGGATCCCACTGAGTAGGCACTGCAATTATTTTGCTGAATCAATGGTTTTTCCCGAGAGCGCCTGCGAAGGGTTCTTCGTAAAAAAGCAGCCGTTGTAATACATCTTCACACCCTCACATCTGCTGATCTACATCTTCACACCTTCACATCTGCTGATCTACATCTTCACACCTTCACATCTGCTGATCTACATCTTCACACCCTCACATCTGCTGATCTACATCTTCACACCTTCACATCTGCTGATCTACATCTTCACACCATCACATCTGCTGATCTACATCTTCACACCCTCACATCTGCTGATCTACATCTTCACACCCTCACATCTGCTGATCTACATCTTCACACCTTCACATCTGCTGATCTACATCACACCCTCACATCTGACACCCTCACATCTGCTGATCTACATCTTCACACCCTCACATCTGCTGATCTACATCTTCACACCCTCACATCTGCTGATCTACATCTTCACACCTTCACATCTGCTGATCTACATCTTCACACCCTCACATCTGCTGATCTACATCTTCACACCTTCACACCTGCTGATCTAGATCTTCACACCCTCACATCTGCAGATCTAGATCTTCACACCCTCACATCTGCAGATCTCCTCTCGCTCTTCTTTCTATCTCTCTCTTAAGGGGGGTGTGCCGCCGGAGCGCCACGAAACGCAACCCTTTCGCACGAAATGGACGTTGGACGTCAAAAACTGAGGAAAAATTGCGATTTAACTTAGTCAAATGCAACCCTTTCGCACGAAATGGACGTTGGACGTCAAAAACTGAAGAAAATTTGCGAGTTTGAGGTGTCCATCGCAACCCTTTCGCGCGAAATGGACGTTGGACGTCAAAAACTGAGGAAAAATTGCGATTTTGAGGTGTCACTTGCAAGTCTGCGTGTAAATGTTTCTGTGTGTAAAAGCTTCTGTGTGTAAAAGTGTGTGTAAAAGCAGTGTAAAATGGTCTGTGTGTAAAGGTGTCTGTGTGTAAAAGCTTCTGTGTGTAAAAGCGTCTGTCTGTAAAAGCTTCTGTGTGTAAAAGTGACTGTGTGTGACATGGTCTGTGTGTAAAAGTGTCTGTGTGTAAAAGCAGTGTAAAAGTGTCTGTGTGTAAAGGTGTTTGTGTGTAAAAGCTCCTGTGTGTAAAAGCTTCTGTGTGCAGAAGCGTTTGTGTGTAAAAGCTTCTGTGTGTAAAAGCTTCTGTGTGTAAAAGCGTCTGTGTGTAAAAGCTTCTGTGTGTAAAAGTGTCTGTGTGTAAAAGCTTCTGTGTGTGAAAGTGACTGTGTGTAACATGGTCTGTGTGTAAAAGTGTCTGTGTGTAAAAGCGTTTGTGTGTAAAATGGTCTGTGTGTAAAGGTGTTTGTGTTCTGTCTCTGTGGACATGGTGTTGCATTCATTCTTTGGTGATTTGTGTTTTCTGATTGTTCCAATTCAAGCATGGAGTTTTACCGCACAAGTCTGTGCGAGCGGCATTCAACTGCATTTTCTACAAAAGAATCGTTTGGTCGGAGCCATGTTCTGCGCGTAAAAGCGTCTGTGCGTAAAAGTGTCTGTGTGTAAAAGCGTCTGTGTGTAAAGGTGTCTGTGTGTAAAAGCGTCTGTGTGTACAAGTGTCTGTGTGTAAAAGCGTTTGTGTGTGTAAAAGCGTCTCTGTATAAGAGCGTCGCGTTTCTTCTCATCCGAGGAATGATGGTACCGAGCTTTTTCGGCAATGTGTGTAGGAATTACCATAGTAAAATGAGAACACATGTCGTTCGCAGCATCATGGTACCGAGCCTCCTGTGCATTTTTGTTGCTCACATTGTATTTCTAGCGAAAGAGTTCTACCGCCCTTTCATTCTCTCTCTCACTCCTCCCTCTTTCTCTCTGTGGTTGCAAGACACGTGTCATCTGATGCCCTTTACCAAGTATCCTCTTCTTAATCAATCTTACTTTTTCACACCATATCTTTCCATAGTTCATATAAAATTCACCAACTATTCACCGACTATTTTTTACGATTACCATCCTCAGAGCTGCTTGAAAAACATCTTTTTCGCTCTCGGGCCAACCGCCGTCTAGTAATATAATAAGATGTAATATAATATAATATAATATAATATGATATAATATGATATAATATAATATAATATGATATAATATAATATATTTTATAATATAATATAATATGATATAATATAATATAATTTAATATAATATAATATAATACTATTCAATACAACAGAACATAATATAATATAATCTATGTGTGTATCCATCTATCAGCAAACTATATATATATAGCTTAATATAATATAATGTTATGCAAGTTGATTTGGGTCACACCGCATGCAGCATGGATTGCCCTTCGGACGCGGTGATCACCGCCCAACCCCAAATCTTGGCGAGGGCAACGCCTTGACGGACTTGCGGTGTTGCAAGGCAATGTGCTCCACAAGCTGTACGATGAACATTTGTGATCATGTGTGTCTACGAATTCATTTTTGGAACCTCACTGGAACTCCCAGGCGACCTTGATGGCCTGTATCCGACCATCGCAGACCCGCAACCCCTGCACCGCGTTCCCGGGCTGTATCCGCGATATATTCGGAACGATCAAAAAGATCGCCTTTCAGCGATGATTCTTGGCAGCACAGTGCTTCTATGAGCGTGTGCCATGCGGTGTTTTCCAATCAGCACGGGCTCTTCGAATTGGCCATGAAGGGGTCCCTTAGTTTGGACGAACCCAGCAGATTATACACGGGCCAAATCTTGATTTTCCAGGTTCCAGACCACTGAAATTGGCACATTCAGATTTCTTTCCAAGTTCAATGCTTGGTTTCTTGTTGATCAAAATTGCGTACATCTACCCATGGCTGTTTTGAAGGTGTGTAGCGAACTCCTTTGGATTTCTGGGTTGAGATAGGCATCCATGGATTTCCCACATCCCCCACTAAGTCATCCATTGGTTTTCGCAGGGTCGCCGTTGGTTATTTCCTGTTCTGATCCCAGCAAAGGTGTTCGAATAAATTTCAACATTGACCTACTACAGTGTTTGTGTATAACATCAATTTACCGACGTGTGGTCGACTGTCCCAACATGTGGTAACTCCTTGGCGCCTAGGGCGAGGAAGCCAGTCATAGATCACAAAGGCTTGGGAGGGCTCGGTGGAAATGCAGCGATTTGGCCCGAAAAATTGATCAGAAATGGCGGAACTACTTCAGTCTAATCAAACCCATGATGTTGCCCAGAATCAAATGGAAATGTTGATTGTGGAAATCAAACAGGGTGTTTGTCGAATATGGAACTCTCCTATTTCTTGGATGTTCCTGTTAAGAACATGCATCTATAGAGGAATTCCAAGTGCCACGACGTTACCAGAATGTATCCAACAATGAGATTGAAGCGGCAAGATTGGGGGTCTTGATGTTTCTTCTGCCAAGGAAAAAAATGTGCAAGTTGAGTCCCTTCATGTCTTTACCGTATCTTCTTTGTCTGGGTATTTTCTTTAGGTGTTCAAGGATTGATTGTGAAGTTTCCCTGCAAGATCACTGAGTTTTTGCAGCTTTGTGCAACGCTAGATTGTGGAAAGGGATCACAAATTCAGCGATGCTGTCTTTGTTGATTTAGAACTACAATCGTTGATTGGGGGTCAAACTATGTAACACATTTAGAACTGATTGTAATGAGTCGATGTATGTACAAGGAAATATCGACCATCTATATACCTGTTTGTAATGTTTTGTTTACGCCCTGGATCAATCACGTGCAGGGAAGGGTTTCCGAAAATGATAAGCAGTTGGAAATGCATCATTGCCATTGCTTCTAACTGATTTTTGGGATATGAACCCCATTGATGAAGCAATCGCTACGAGAAATGTTGGGAAAATGAGCGCTTGGGATGTCAACGGGTCAAAACCTTATCAATTAATTGAGTCGGAGTTTTAACAAAGATACCTGACTTTAGCTCGATGTGCTACATGCCGGACCTGGGGCGAGGACGTGGTGCACACCCAAACGATCATCCAAAGATGGTCTGTTCGTTTGCTGGGGGAAATGGCGTAAACCACATGGGACGTGAACGACCAAACGGCCATACTCTTCGCAGCTGGGACCCCATGTTCCAAGGAGGAAAACCAGATATGTTTTGGAATGAGGCGGGGCCGATAAACCCTAAACACAAACCCCATACCATCCCTACTTTCGCCATGTTCCACGGAACTTATTCTCCTGAGCAGCCATAATCCAGTATTGTGGCAAAACTATAGACATCCATAAGCCACATCCGACAAAAATATTGCACCATATCCCCAAACCAAGATATCTATAGCAATCCCACAAAATAGAAGCAGTTTACCACGATAGGATTGGATCCTACAAATTTCGATCCTTTTCGCTGCCATGACAGGTGCTAGGTTTTCCACCGGTCCGCCGTGTCCGCGAGGCTCTTAGAGAAGCAGCGGAAGAAGGAAGAGGCCGATGCCGCCCGCCGCGCCGCGGATGAGCGCATGAAGGCTGGGCCGCTGCCAAAATGGCCCAAGATTCCCATGGCTTTTTTGGGCCAACGTGGGATGCTAAGAAAATGCTATTTCACTTCCAAGTAATGGGGATAGAATCACTGGTGTAAGTACAGTAAGAGGGCATGCTTCTGGAATATTAATAGGACTATAATGGGATGATAATGGGTTATTTCCTTCCAGTGTCTTCAAACATGGCTGGGAAGCCCCCTGTAAATGGAGGTTTCTAGCTGGTAAAATCAACGAACTTAATGAGGGATCTTACATGATTTTACAGCAAAGCATGTCTGAGCACCAGACAATACCAACGTTGCAAACGTAGCAACCCCTCCCTGGAACACATCAACGAAAGCGTAGCAACAAAGTAGCATCAACGTAGGTGCAAACGTCATTTCACCTGACATGGGAATCAACATCATTCAACTCAAGGACTCAAAATACAGGTAAAACCTTTTTGTAGCAACATGATCACCATGATCACCACCGCTCAGGATCAACGAAAAAAGAAGGCCGAAGAAAAGGGCAACAAGGAGCCCCACATGATCCTGCGGCCCTGCGGACGGAGTGACAAAAATATGGATTTCATGGGATGACCATAGGGCCAGCTCCAAGATATTTTGAGGTGAGCCAACTGAGCCAACTATCCACAACTTGGGTTTGGATTCAGCATGACACTGCTGCCCAAAATTAATGATGTTGATTACTGTCATGTTTGTGAATAGTCAGCAAACCAAATATATCCCATTGCATCCCCGCTATCAGTGCTTAGAAAACCACTTGGCGTGCCTTTTCACCATAAGCAAACTTCACAGTCATGGTTTATCCCTTAAATCCAAAGTGTTTTTTGGTATTGCCACTACCTGCCAAGTTCAATCACCAACTACGCTCCGGTTGCTGTTGGGGCCGTGCACCTACGACCCCCAAGATATGTCGCTGTCCCCAAGTCATGGCACCCATTTCTTGGAACAAAACTAGCGATTTTCAACCCACCAATGCCATTGCAGCAAATATTAAGTGGTTCTCAATAATATTAACAAATGGGCTTTGGTTTTATCATTAAAATAACAAAGTCATCAAAATCCGATGAAATCCATTGGTTAATTTCAAACCCATATCAACATTAATCAGATTAATAACAATCTATGGGTTAAGATTGCCATTGAATGCCATTAACAAATGGGTTTTACATTTGTTTTCCAAGGTCAGCAGTTGACGCTTCCCTCAGGAGCAGCTCAACGCGATGAAAGAGATGGGTGAGGAGATGGCACACGAGCGATGCCCCCAAGCGGTAAACGGCTGGGGAAAACTTATACCGTTTTTATGGTATATAATAGGGATATATATATATATAGAACATCAACTAATGGGATATTCTAACTTGGAATGCAATGGGATATTTTTTGCACCTATATTCCAACTAATAACCTGATTACTCTTTATGGAATATATTTGAGATATATACCAATGCTGCGACAATGGCCACGTAACGGAGACATCATGGGGATATAGCCGGCGGTACACGCCCAGAGATCATAGGGATGAAGTGCTTCATGACCTCACTGAATTGTGGAAGGCATCCTGGTTGCATTGAGACAACCACATCTGTTTAAGGTAGCATGATTTTTTTTAAATCTATACATGGTAGCATGGTATGTTTAATACCATTGTTTAAGCTACCATGTTGGAAACACCCAATTTTTTGTGAAAAAAACTCGGTAGAAGGCCATCTATAGTCCTTTCTCAGATCAACACCGACGCGACCCGCTTGAACTTGTCCGAGGGGAACTCATGCAGGGTGACCTGGTGGACTCTGTTCACCATTGAGTTCAACCGTTCCAACGATCAATGGGACATAGCTAGCTATAAACAATTAACCATTATTTCCCATGATTTTTGACAACAACAATAGTCGTCAACTATATGAACTATTCGCATCTATTAGCACTTTCCCGGGTGAAGTGAAGCCAGGAGCTGAAGCAAGCCAAAGCAGCTGCGAAAGAGTCGGAGATGCAAATCTCCCAGCTGAGGCCGTGGCCTATCTCCGATGCCATTGGGTGGTGTTTTTTTGTCGCTGAAAATGGTGGTTTTCATTGGCCTCACCAAAAGAAATATGGGAAAATGAGCTGATTTATGATGAATGTGTAATGGAATAATCCTCGGTTTTTGCCGGATGTCCTGGGAGTGTTTTCTGGGATAAACGTTGTATTGGACTTGAAACAGATTATGATTTCACTCGTGGGCACATATTTTGGGTGAGATTTCGAAAAGCAGGGGGAAGTGGTCTACTTTTTGCCGTTTTTTGATGGGAATGGACAGGCCATCAGCTAGAGAGAAAGTGTCAGTGTTTTCGAAAGGTATCTAAGATTGGCCTTGGGCCTTGGACATTTGCTGATGTTTTGCGGGTCAAGAAAAGGAACCCGATGGAAAGCGGGATGTTCAAGCAAGAAAAATGAAAAAATTCAGCAAAATTCGGATTGGATCAACAAACATAAAGCTGTAAGTAATTCGTCATCGCGAGTTTGTTTGAGCAATGACAAATCGATATTGGGGCTCTGGATTTGCAGAATCTTTTTCGCGACTGGATACTGACGACTGGCCGGGTTCAGCTCCATTGAGGAAAATTTAGGTCGACCTCACGTTTGCCTACCCATGTTGCGGCCAAAAAGTTGAGTTTGACGCAACCTCTATTGAGCTAATGTCGGGCTTATATTGGGTCTATCTTGGGTCATGTGGAGGCCATGTCGGACATTTTTTAAACCCATGATTTCGCGCCAAAAACAAAAAATCCATAAAAAGCCCCCCACGGCTAAAATCCCATTTTAAACCCCATTAAAATCCCATTGAAATGATTTTTAGCCCCCATTTTTCTCCATGAAATCCCACATGTTCAGCTCCTCCACGCCACATCTTCCGTTGATCGCCGCTGCCAGGATCAAGTTGGAGCAGGCCGAGGCGGCGGCCAAAGTGGCGGAGAAGTCCAAGGCTGGCGCCGAGAAGAAGCTGAAAAGTGCTGAGCAGGAGCCGTTTGGAGACGTAATATCTGTAGTTAATGATGGTTAATAATGGTTAATAACCACTGGTGAATGGTTAATATCTGTAGTTAATAAGATAAGATTGTGAAGTGCTACCCAGGGAACCCTTGAACTATCATGTTGTTGAAATCCATCATATATTGGGTGAATTGTCAGAGGGGCTGAAACCACCAACCAGATAAGATAAGATATATGGCATCCAGGCAAAATATGGGCAATATGATGTTTTGATAATATGATGTAGTTAATAGCTGGTTGGTGGTTTGGAACATTGGTTTAGTATGGGGTAATGATGGTTAATGATGATTAAAAATGGTTAATAATCACTGGTTAATGGTTAATATCTTTAGTTAATAAGATATGGTGTATTGGTTTACAATGGGATATATATACAATGGGATTTACAATGAGTATATCATGAGATATGATGATATCACGGAGATATCCAAGAATACTGGTAGGTGGTTTGGAAGATTGGTTTAGTATGGGGTAATGATGGTTAATAATTGTTAATAATCACTGGTTAATGGTTAATATCTGTAGTTAATAAGATATGGTGTATTGGTACACAATGGGATATACAATGAGTATACCATGAGATATGATGATATCACGGAGATATCCAAGAATACTGGTTGGTGGTTTGGAAGATTGGTTTAGTATGGGGTAATGATGGTTAATGATGGTTAATAATGGTTAATAATCACTGGTTAATGGTTAATATCTGTAGTTAATAAGATATGGTGTATTGGTACACAATTGGATATACAAAGAGTATATCATGAGATATGATGATATCACGGAGATATCCAAGAATACTGGTTGGTGGTTTGGAAGATTGGTTTAGAATGGGGTAATGATGGTTAATGATGGTTAATGATGGTTAATAATGGTTAATAATGGTTAATAATCACTGGTTAATGGTTAATATCTATTGTTAATAAGATATGGTGTATTGGTACACAATGGGATATACAATGAGTATATCATGAGATATGATGATATCACGGAGATGTCCAAGAATACTGGTTGGTGGTTTGGCAGATTGGTTTAGTATGTGTTAATGATGGTTAATAATGGTTAATAATCACTGGTTAATGGTTAATAATCACTGGTTAATGGTTAATATCTGTAGTTAATAAGATATGTGTATTGGTACACAATGGGATATACAATGAGTATACCATGAGATATGATGATATCACGGAGATATCCAAGAATACTGGTTGGTGGTTTGGAAGATTGGTTTAGTATGGGGTAATGATGGTTAATGATGGTTAATAATGGTTAATAATCACTGGTTAATGGTTAATATCTGTAGTTAATAAGATATGGTGTATTGGTACACAATTGGATATACAAAGAGTATATCATGAGATATGATGATATCACGGAGATATCCAAGAATACTGGCTTGTGTTTTGGAACATGAATTTCATTTTTCCATATATGGGGAATAATCATCCCCACTGACTCATATTGTTGGAGGGGCTGAAACCACCAACCAGATGAGATAGATATATGGCATCCTGGCAAAATACGGATGATATGATGTTTTGATAATATTTTTTATCTACGGATGTATATAGAATAGATGCAGATATAGATACATAGATAATTATTTAGATATTTAGATGGTTTTATAGATATATAGATATATAGGGATATAGATGTATAGATTTATAGATAGGTATAGTTTTACATATCTTATATCTATATCCATTTCCATCAATGTTAGATATAGATTTAGGTATGGCTCCAGGGATTTTAAGGGGATGTTTGTAGCGATTTTGGGAATCCATGAGATAAATCAAAAGTTACTGAGGTTGTAATGGTGATAAACTTGCTTTTTTATTTGGGGTTAAAGTAGTGGATTTATGGTATTCAACGGTGATCCAGTGGGATGGTTCTAGCGATTTCAAGTGGGATGCTCATGGACTTAATGGTGATGCTTATGGGTTTATATTGCGATATAATGGGTGTTGATTGATAAATCTATAGTTGGTGGATGTAATAGTGATATTTTTTTAATGAGATAATGGACCTTTCATAGGATTTAATGGTGGTTATTTAAATATATATATATATACTGGTGATTAAAGGTAGATCTATTGTATATACCTATGGTTGATGGTCAATGGTGAATGGATGTGCTTAGGGATTTTTAATGGTCATAATTATAATGCAAAATAATTAAAATGCAAAATTGTGCTAAATTATGGTTAAAACGTAGTGGCCATGGTTAATAATAAATACAGTAATATCTATGGAATACATTCATTATATCATAGCGTGATATGCCGCGTCTGTCTAGAACAGTCATAATATGTGTGTCGAAAGCAATCAACACTATACCGGATAACGGTTACTGTCAATCATGGTCGATATGATGTAGGACCCCAAGATAGCGAAGTTAGTTTTTAACTTCAGTAGCCATGGTTTATGATGTTTTTAACTATAGGTTATGGGCTTCACCAACTTATGACTGGGGCTTTTCCACATTGTACTACCTTTAACATCATGAATCACGATGATACAATTGAAGCTTACTAGTGATGGCTACAATTAGTGACGAGGAGGGACGATCATGGCGGGATGGTGGTGTGTTTACAACACAGGATGTGTGGATTTGTGTGATTACAATCACGGGATTGGTTAGCTACTTACCGCAATGATGCTTGAATTGTTACTTTCGGGCAGCCAGATTGGCCTTGAAGACTTTGTTACCTTTTACTACTATTGTGTTGGGCATGGAAGACCTTGGTTGATTGGTGATTTAACGAAGAAGGGATTTGATCCTGTGAAACCTTGCGCCCAGATTAATCATCAAGAATGCGGGTTGTATCGTCAAAAACTTGGATTATTCGCTGGTGAATGCACCAACATTGGTGGGTCACTTTGGCAGTGACAGGCGGAGGAGCAGGGGACATCTTTTTGGATGGTCTTGCTGGTTGATAAATGTTTGCACTGCAACAAGTGGATGGTTGTTGTTTCTTGGGTGAGGTTGTAGCCAGCAGCTACCCTCTGGTAAACGTTTACAGTTCGCTATGGAAAATCACCGTCTTCTAGCTGGGTAAATCAACCATAAATGGGCCATTTTCAGTAGTAAACTGTAAAATTACCGGAGGGTAAAGCCAGCAAAAGTTCGGAGATTTCACAGGGTTTGCCCAAAAGCCCAGGAGTTGAAGTCCTTGAGAGAGGATCCCGTCTTCGAACAGGTGAACATGCTACGCGATGCCACTGGGCGGATGAGTTACCAAGGCGTTTACCTGGGTCCTGCATGAAATATGGGATGTTTTCCTGAGTTTTGTGTTGATTTTTTATGATTTCATGGGTTTCAGCACGTCAATAAGAAATGAGTTAACCCCTTGATAGCGGAAAATGCCCACCTGTTGAAGTAAGGAACTCCTTGATTTTTGCGGGAAATCCGGCATCGGAAAACCTCGATATCTTAGATATTCTGAGATATACTTGCTGTTCGGGGATGAGATAGGTTGACTAAAAGCATCCCATGGAGAATTCAATTTTCATCCAGAAGGTATCCTGATTGACCTGGCAGTGGAATCAAAAGGATAGTAGGATAACCTTCAGGACCTTGTCGCTGCTTGCGGACTGTGAGTACTGTATGCCTTTTTCTTGGCCAATGAAAAAAGGATATGTGCCCCAATGCCCATTCAAACTCATTCAATGTCATTTTCCACTTACCCATGTTGGGATTTATCTTTCGTTTTGTTTTGTTTTGCCGGCTGGCGCGTTGTTGCCTAAACCCTAATTTTTCGGCGGAGGATGCCCACGACTGGATCACCCGAGGCCAGCAAAGACCTTCAGCGTGAAGTGGAAGACTTGCAGCCACCTGGCTGAAACCGGGGGGGCAATGGACTGGGTTAAGGATGTAAACACCAACAGTTTCATAGAGATATGTTTACCAAAAAAATGATAGTGATGAGGTATTAACTGGGTTGACCTTGGATGGCTACTTAAGTAACTTCAATATGCTTTGAATGGGGAAATATACTCACCAGCTCAAATTGTAATCTCTTTGCATGGAAACTATGCTTTTGCCATGCTGAGAGGTGAGGTGACAGAGGTAAGCTGACTGGCAAACGGGGTCAGCCTTGGCCAAAACTGGTGAAAGGGGTGGTTTTTGACCATCAAAAATCGGGGTGTTATTCAGAAAATATGGTGGGTCAATCGGTGCATCTGAATTTTGCCACGCAAATTGGGTTGGTGCTTGGCCAATTTTTGCTTAGCCATCTTGACAGATGAATATGTCATTCAACTAACTGGACGGTGGAACTAGCAAGAATTAACCAACAAAAATGTGCGCGTGGTAAAAACTATGTTGGGTAAAGCATGGTGAATGTTATGGGGAACCCAGAAAAGTCGTTGAATTGTCCAAGAAAACATGAATTCAAGGAATTTATCCGGCAACCACGGGTGAATACTTGAATAAACCACATGGTGAATAGTTGGCTCATGGCCTAGAGATGGCTGCGAGTAACTGAGGACTGCTATGGTGGGCTGGGACGATCGATACATGACGAGCCAATCCCTGTGATATCACTGTTTTACCATCGTCAGTTTGTTGGTTATCTTCGGTTATCTTCCTGGGATGTTGCAGGACCTTCGCCAGCTGCAAAGCCTTTCTTTCTGAATGTTGTTGTATAGCTTTACACCCTTTATAGCATACTCTGTGTGTGTAAAACATGTGTAGAACGGTCCATTGTTTTATCCCACCTTACTTGTATATATGGACTTCTCTGAAAATATGGTACCCCCAAATTTGATACGACTCATCGTCACTTTTGCCCATTTTCATGTCCGTGCATTGGGGCGTTCCCTCATGTTCAGACACCCATCTACACTCTTGTTTATATACATCCCCAATTGTATTTCAAGCATCAATATATTCCCATAAAATTCCCACTCTATCCCCTTTGTCTCATTATTAAATCTATATGTCTTAAGCGCACATCGATGCCAGGCAACAGTTGGGCGAAAAGGAGGAGTTGCTGCAGGCAGCTTTGGAAGCCAAGGCCAACGGATCCATTGGATCCACGTGGGGAAACTGACCGCGGGCGAATGGGGATCGACCATGGGAATGACATGGTGCTGAAAAATGGGAATGAAATGAATGGGATTTCATGGTGATTGGTATTGGTGATGTATGATCTGGTAATTCTACATGCGGAAAACTCACCAATCGCTAGGTCATTTTGCTGAGGAAATCACGGGTTCTCCGACATCTACCTTAATAAACCATGGGGTTTCATGGGACTTGGATATACAACCAAAAAATACCATGGGGGGCGTCCTCAAGCGGATTTTTGGCTTACCTCCAATGCAAAGCAAACACAGCTACTATGACTGGTCAGTGGTGACTGGAACATTGGTTTAGTATGGGGTAATGATGGTTAATAATCACTGGTTTGTGGTGACTGGAACCATGGAATTTTTATGACTTTCCATATATTGGGAATGTCATCATCCCAACTGACGAACTCATATTTTTCAGACTGGTGGCTCAACCACCAACTAACTATGATAAATTCCATTTTGGTTTAGTTGAAGCAGATGGCAAAAATTGTACATGTTACATGTGCGGCTTGCTACAGTCAACTGGGGACTACCCGAACCACTGGAGCCTCAATCTCCGTGAAGCTGTTCTACCAGTGGGGGACAGACCTCCCCAAATTAGACGTGTTTGTTCATCAACACGTCTAACTATAGGATATCTACCATATATCAGCTGAAACTATGGTTTATCAGCTAATTTCTCAGCTGAAACTTTGGTCATTCATAAACCCCTTGTGGTTTCGGTCGATTCTTGGGCGCCCAGCCAAGTCGCGGGGAGGCCTTAGCAGAGGAACAGCCATCAGTGGCTTGACGAGATTTATGCAACAAGATGGGTGACGAAGGGGATACGCCAGCAAAAATATTGTGATCAAACTGACTGAACCATCCAAATCTGCCCTCCATCGGCATTCTTAACAATTTTGGAACGTTAGGCCCACAAACTGGGGATGCAACTGGCTAAAGCAGGGGTCAAATCCATATTCTTGCTCCAAATCACCTTTCTGAGTTTGGATCAAAACTGGTGGGGTCTACTTCACATGGACATTTGCTGTTTGAGGCCCTAACTTCAACCCTAACATGACATAAAGTAACACGACATCGTCCTTGTGCTGCTCCTGCCCATCTTTCTTTGACGGACACACTTGGGAACATCACCGATTGATTTTATAATTGGCTGGGCTTGATGTTTTTGAAACGGCGGTGCCCAATTACTGGATAGCATAGTCAATTTGTGCACTAGGTCATTTACTTTCATGGGAAATTACTGTTCCAGTACACCAGCAAAGCTTAGCGGAGGCTCAAGTTTAGTGGATAAACTTGACCAAAATGCCATGCTTGCTGATTGATCTCTAAGATGCGCCATCTTTTTTTTGGAAACAGATGTTCGAAAAACAATGCAATTTGGTCCTTGGCTTTCTGAGGCTTAAGACATATCCCACTGAAAGGTAAGCTTGTAGGGGATCACCAAGCTGCAACATATATTTGTTTTGGTTGGTAACCTATGTTGTTTGGTTGCTCATACATCCCAATAACTTCCAAGGAGTCATCTCCCATTACATGGTGTTTTGTTTTTACATGTGGAACAATCCATCAAGATAGAAGCTGGTCAATATATCTACTGGTTGGTGGTTTGGAACATTTTCTATATATTGCGAATAATCATCCCAACCGACCGTCATATTTTTCCGAGGGGTAGGTATACCACCAAGCATATAATTTACCATCATTAACCACCATTAACCACCATTAACCATCATTAATCAGGGGGAGCTGAAGAAACCACAGCAGCCTTGCCGATCGCTTCAAGCCGCTCAGGCCGCATCTTCCAGCCAGGCCATGTTGCCTGGAACAACCTGAGATAGCATGATGCTTGATATAGTGGGGAAACCGTCAATGTATATATATATATGTGTGTGTGATATATATATATATATATATTTATATTTATATATATAACATATTCATACTGGATATCATTGGTATATATTCTATAAATAAATAAATATATATATATATATATTCACATTTAATGGCATTAGGTCAGCTATTGCGGCACTAAGATGTTCAACCAATTCCCAAACGTTGCACCAGGCTCCAGGATTGCAGCAGGACGGGCTGGGAAAGAAGCTGGGCATCGGGTCTCCAAACAAATGATTACATAAATAGGGAGGAAAGGGAATATCCTGATCAGGGTATTACGAATATCAGGGCTTAATAGAGGTTTTACATGAATATCAGGGTGTCAGGGCATCAGGTCTCTAAATCCTGATGTTCATTTTAATATAGGTTTTACAGGGAACATCCTCTGGTAAACCTACAAAAAACTATGGAAAATCAAAATTTTAATGTGTAAATCTCTTATAAATGGGCAATGTTCCATAGCTACTGTGGATGGTTGCGAAATCCTGCGCCAAAAGGATGGTTGAAAGCCATCCAAAATCATGGAATGCTTACCATCTATCAACTGGCGCAGGATTTCGCAACCATCCACAGTAGGTGAAAAAACCGCTGCAACCTGCAACGACCATACCATGACATGACGCTTAGTAGGCGATTCTTCCCAACATGACCTTCTGTCGGATTTGGGACGGAAAATGATAAATGCCCAGATAAGCGCTCATAAATGGCAATTAAAATCTCAATATCTATAGATTGAGAAAGAAAGCCAATCTCTTGCGGGTGCAGTTGGGGTTATTCATGGTTATAACCATGGTACCCTTTTAAGTTGGGATATGACCACTCTAACTACGGTTACATATCCACTTCTAAGGGCAGCTGCACTCCCAAGTTTTGGTGTATACCCATCGTTTGTGAAATATATATAAGTTGGTGTATAGAGCCATTGAAAGAACTATATGAACCACTTGGTGGTGCAGTTCCACTAATGATTGGCTTTTAAAACACAAGAGTTGTAGGGATTAGTCCCGACCCCAACTGCACCTCCAAGTATGCCCTTTGGGGCGATGAATGCCACGAAAAAAATGGTATGGATGACCATCAACCATAAAATCCATGTTTACCCCCATATGAAACCCCAGTATCCCTACAAAATCCCTATTGCTGTTTATCATATCCCCTATTGTTTCAACCACATACCATGTTGTGACTATGTACAAACCCTGCCCCATGCCAGGAGCTTGACGCAGCTCGCTCGGAGACCAAGCGTCTCCAAGCAGAACTCGATGCTGCACGTTCCGCGACCGGGGCCTCGCCCAATGAGGCACTGCTGTGGGGAGATCGTGGATTTTTTTCCATGCAAAATGGGGTAAGCATGTGGATAAACCGACTGGTAGTTAAACGGTTGGTACTTTCCACGCATTATTTTTTACTTACTAGCCAGCTTAAAATAGTACATAATGCCGGTGCCCCCACAGTATACATGGAAATGGTGCCCTAGAAGCCAATCAAAGATCAATCAAATCCTGCAAGTACATTTCCAAATCTGGCAGATCAGAATTCCATTCGCATTCAATAACCGCCCATCAATGTAATTCAAAATTAGAGAAAAACCGCCTTGAGAAGTTCTTTGAAAGGCTGGGAAACATCTTAAATCCCTATTGCTTGTTCTTTAAACCCTTGTTCGCCTGGTGTAATCCTCGTCTTTGCTGGTTAAACCAATCAAAAATGGCTGGAATGCTCCATATCCAGCGTGGTCCAAAGATGAGTGAACACCGGCGGCAGGACGTCGCAAAGCTTCGACAGGAGATGACTCGGGCGAGCGGGTGAAGTTTTTGGGCCGCTGGTTGGGAAGTTCAATTGGGCCATTTCTATAAGTGGATATAGGTATCAATATAGGTTACAAGGTTAATACCTTGGTTGGTTAATATGAGGGGCCTTTCAAATGAACAAGTATAATGAGATGGGCTAGCTCTATTTTTGATGGCTCGATTAGGTTTACTTCCAGCCCTTGTTGAGATGATGAGGGATGGGGCATAGCTACAGGTGGCACAGTACCAGACAGCAAATTGGTCTCAACCCAGGCATCAAGAAAAAACTATGGCCCACTTGGTTGGGTCAAGACTGCACACACTCACACTGGGTCTTCTTAAATCGAGGACCCAAAATCATCCAAAGATGTCATGTTTAGTGGGCGGTCCAATGACTTTCTGGCATTCCAATTTTCAAAAAGCCAAAGTATTACTATTTCCGTGATTTTCCTCTGATCATGTTAACCATATGATTTTGTAAGGTAACATTCAATTTTCCACCAATATCAAATATCCCTTTTACAAACGAATAGAAATGTGCCGAAACAGAACCCTTGTTTTGACAGATCAATACATGACGACCAGGAGCTGGAGCAGTCACGCGCCGAAGTCGCCCAGCTCCGTGCCGGTGCCACCGGTGCCACTTCGGCGTTGCCGGGCGCTGCGGGGCAGGCGCGGCGGCAACGCGGCAACTGGGGCAGGAGGTGGAGGATATCCCATGGAAGATGAAATCCCATGGAAAATCATTTTTTGAATCGGAATATCTTCCATGTATAGATTTTAATGAATAAGCCCAAAGAGTATCCCCAACAGCGAGAAACAAAAACAGTTGCCAAACACGCAATGAATGAAGTATGTTTATTGCCCCGCCCTTTTTACTCTAGAGGTCGGGCGTGCAAGCTGCAATCACGGCACAAACACTGTATGAAAAAAAAACGTTTTTCCAAAAGCGTTTGCGATACTGTGGCCAACATGCCCGAAGCTCGTGCAAAGGGTTCTCTTCCCAAAGAACTGCTGTCCGCCTCACTCTTCACTTCATCTACCTAACATCATCCACATCTTTTTTGTCCTTTACATCACCTACATCTTCTATACCATCTTCTAGACCATCTTCCCTATATTTACATCTACATCTACACCATCAGCACCATCATCATCATCATCATCACCTACATTTGTCTCACCTACATTATCTACACCACCTACACATTTGTCCATCAACCTCATCTATATGACATGTTTTATCTACAACACATACACTACCGGCATCATCATCACCTACGTCACTACATCCTCTACATCACCCACATCACCTACATCTTCTGCACCATCGTCCCTGCATCATCATATCATCATCATCACCACCACCACCACCATCATCATCTATCTCACCTACACCATCTACATCACCTACCCACTCCTTTTCCATCAGCTCATCTACATGACATGCATCATCTACAACGCATACATGCCCTACATCATCATCTATATCGCTGCATCCCTACATCACCTACCTCTTCAAACCTATCTAACCTTACATCACTTACAAGACTTACAACATCATGGTCATCATCTACAATATACATAGACAACGACACCTACATCAGCTACAGGTGATCAACTTCTAGGGAACTCCTACAAAACTTGAAAAATGTTGTTTACACAGGAGTTGACTTGCAGGTGATCCACTTCTACTTGAACTCCTACAAGAGTCCTGCCTGCAAGGTCATTTGCACAGAAATTGTTGCACAGGAGTTGCTACACAGGAGTTCAGCTAACTTCCAGTGATCAAATTGTATGTGAACTCCTGCAAAATCAGACTTCTCCAGTTCTTCTATTTCTCTCTGGCGGCAGCGACAGCCAGGCGGTGGCTTACGAAACGTTACCCTCTGCGGCGTGTCGGATACCCAAACGTGTGGCGAAATGCGGGTCTTGTTTGTCCTTGGGCCCGCAGCAACCGTCTGCGGAGACAGAGATCGCGCAGGTCGGACATCCAAACACGTGGCAAAATGCAAATTTGGCAGGGCCCGGCGCAGCCCCTTCGCACGAAATGAGGGTCAACCATCAAAAACTGGTGTATTTTGAAAGTTCAGATGCAAGCGTGGCATGAAAGCTAAACGGCAATAACTGTGGGAAAACTGAGCTTTTTTTAACGTCAGATGCAAACGTTCAAGAATTGGTGTAAAATTGCGACTATCCATTTTGGATCGTCAGGCACAACTGTTTCACGCGAAATAAAACTGGTGTAAAAATGCGATTTTACAAGGTCAGGCGCAACCCATTTCACGCAAAATGATTGTCCAACGTCAAGAATTGCGATTTTCCAACGCCAGATGCAACCCTTTCGCACGATATGATGGCCAAACGTCAAAAACGTAAAATTGCGACTTTTTGAAGTGTGTAAAAGCTGCTCTGTGGAATCGGTTTTTCTGTGGGAAAGCGTCTGTGTGTAAAGGCTTCTCTGTGTAAAAGCTTCTGTGCGTAAAAGCCCTGTGTGTACAAGCCTTCTGTTTGTAAAGACGTCTGTGTGTAAAAGCTCGTGCTCAAAAGCTTCTCTGTGTAAAAAGCTTCTGTGGAAAAGCTTGTGTGTGTAAAAGCTTCTGTGTGTAAAAGATTCTCTGTGTAAAGGCTTCTCTGTGTCAAAGCTTCTGTGATTCTCTGAAAAACCATCTGTGTCTAAAAGCTTCTGTGTGCATAGGCGTGTATATGTCAAAGCCTCTCTGGGTAAATGCTTCTGTGTGGAAAGGCATCTGTGTTCAAAAGCTTCTATGTGTAGAAGCATCTGCCGCATCTGTGTGAAGAACTTTTGTGTAAATGCCTCTATGTGTAAAGACCTGTCTGTGTAAAAGCTTGGGCATTTGCGTGTTTAAAGTTTCTGTGTGTATAAGATTGTATAAGCTGCTCTGTGCAAAGGCCTCTCTCTGTGTAAAAGCTGCTCTGTGTAAACCCTGCTCTGTGAACAAGCTTCTATGCGTAAAAGCGTCTGTGTGTAAAAGCTCTGTGTGTATGTAAAGCTTTTGTGCGTGTAAATGCTTCTGTGTATAAAAGATGCTCTGTTTAGACGCTTCTCTGTGTCAAAGCTTCTTTGTGTAAAGCTTCCGTGTGAAAACCTCTGTGCGTAAAAGCCCTGTCTGTGTAAAGGCCTCTCAGCGTCAAAGCTTCAGTGTGTAAAAGCTGCTCCGCATAAACGCTGCTCTGTGAAAACAAACCTAAGTGTAAAAGCTGGTCCGCACAAAGGCTTCTCTGTGCGAAAGCTGCTGTATGTAAAAACCGTTTGTGCTCAAAGTTCCTTCCCACAAACGCTTGTCTGTGAAAAAGCTTCTCTGTGCAAAATCTCTGTGTAAAAGCTTCTGTGTGTAAAAGCTTCTGTGTGTAAAGGCATCTCTGTGCAAAAGCTTCTGTGTAAAAGCTTTCTTGTGAAAAGGCTGTAAAAGTTTCTGTGTCTAAAAGCTTCTTTTTGTAAGGCATGTGTGTGCAAAAGCTCCTGTGTGTAAAAGTTTGGGCATCTGCGCGTTAAAGTTCCTGTGTGTAGAAACTTCTTTGTGAAAAAGCGTCTGTGTGTAAAGCTGCTCTGTTTAAAGGCTTTCTGTGGTGACAAGGCTTTTCTGTGTAAAAGCTTCTGTATATAAAAGCGTCTGTGTGCAAAAGCGTCTGTGTAAAAGCTGCTCTGTGTAAATCCCTCTCTGTGTAAAGGCTTCTGTGTGTAAAATCTTCTCTGTGTAATTTTTCGCTGTGTAAAGACAACGTGTCTTTTGATTCTGACCGTCGCTCAGGTGCCAGCCCTGGAGCAAACCCTGCGGGGAGAAAAAAGGCATGAAATCGTGGATATATATAACATTTGACTCGCGTCAGCTATCATTCATCATCATCTCCATCGCCATTCATCCTCGCCATCGTCATCGCCATCACTATCGTCATCATCATCATCATCATCACCATCATCATCACCATCATCATTTTTCTTGTGTATGATCTTCTCGTCTCTTCCCTCCTGCTTTCTTTCATGCCACGCTGTCGTCTAGTGTTTCTATCCATGTGCGAGTGCCGTATCATGTTTTGAAGCAAAACTAGTTCTTCTTCAATCTCTCCATTCCGTTATTAGAACAAGTCTTCAAACTTTGCAGTTCTCCTGATTCTGTTGTTCAATGTTCTTGGAACCTTGCCTGGGCAACTGTTCTTGGACACGTTGCTTGACACTTCGGAACCTTGCTTGGGAACCTGTTCTTGGGAGCCTATTCTTAGGAACCCGCTCTTGGGAGCATTGCCTGGTAACCTGTTCTTGGGAACTCTCTCTTGGGAACCTGTTCTTGAAAACTTTGCCTGTTTGCTTCAAACCTGTTCATTGGGACCTTGCTCGGGAACCTGGTTTTCGTAACTTTGCTTGGGAACCTTGTTTAGGAACCTGTCCTTCGGAACCTTGCTTGGGATTCTGTTCTTGCTTCCAACCTTGCTTGCAGATGTTGGTTGAAATTTCGCTTTGCAAGTTGTTCTTGGAAAGCTGTTCCTGGGAACATGAGCAACCTGGAACCATGCTTGGGAACGTGTTCGTGGGAACCGTGCTGGCAACCTATTGCTCGGAACCTTCCTGGAGAATTTGTTCTTGGAACCTGAACCAGTTCTTGGGAACCTGTTCTTCGAACCCTTGCTTGAGAACCTGTTCTTGCGAAGCTTGCTTGAAAAAACCTGTCCTTGGGCACCTTGCTTGGGACCTGTTCGTGGAAACCTTGCTTGGGAACCTGTTCCCAAGGACCTTGCTTGGTAACCTTGCTACCCTGCAAGCAAACCTGTTCTTGGAACTCTTGCTTGGGAACTTGAGGCACTGTTCTTGGAACCTTGGGAACTTGTTCCTGGGAACCTTGCTTGGCAACTGTTTCTGGAACCCTTGCTTGGGAACCTGTTCTTGGGAACCTGACTTGGAAATCATTCCTGGTACCCTTGCTTGCGAACCTGTTCCTGGTAAATTTGACTGGAAATCTTGTTCTTAGGGTGGCTGAAGACCTCAACCTTACGCTGTTGGGGAAAAAGTTCCCAAGCAAGTTCCAAGGAAGAGGTTCCCAAGCAGGTATCCAGGAAGAAGTTCCCAAGCAAGGCTAATTAAGCTCTTAGGAGCCGCTTGCAAGTACGGTTCCCAAAAACCGTTCCCAAGCAAGGTCCCAGGAACCGTTTCGGCGCAAGGTTCCAAGCAGGAACAAGGCTTGCAGGAACAGGTTCCCAAGCAAGCGTTCCCAGGAAGAGCTGGTTCCAAGCAAAATTTCCAAGAGCAACTGGGAACCCTTGCGTGCGAACCTCTTCCTGGGAACCTTGCTTGAGAACCTCTTCCTAGCAACCTTGCTTCAGACTCTGTTCCTGGGAACCTTGCTTGGGAGCCTTTTCCTGGAAACATTGCCTGGGAACTTTTTCCGGGAACCTTACTCGTGAACCTGTTATTGGGAAACTTGTTTGGGAACCTGTTCCTGGGAACCTGTTGCTTGGGAACCTCTTCCTGGGAACCTTACTTGTGAACCTGTTCTTGGGAACCTTGTGTGGGCACCTGTTCCTGGGAACCTGCGGCTGGGAACCTTGCTTGGGAACCTCTTCCTGGAAATATTGCTTGGGAACCAGCTTGCTGGGAACCTTGCTTGGACACCTCGTCGTGGAAACTTCTTCCTGGAAACACTTGTTTGAACAAAACCTATTCTGGGAACCTTGTTTTGCTTGGAAAAGCATGTTCCTGGAAATCTTGCTTGGGAAATGGTTCCTGGAAACCTTGAAAACGGTTCCTGAAATCCGTGCTTGCAAAACCTGTTCCTGGGAACCTTGCTTGGGAACCTCTTGCTGGGAACCCTTGCCTGGGAACCCTTGCTTGGGAACCTGTTTCCTGGGAACCTTGCTTGGAACCGCTTGGGAACCTTGCCTGGGAACCTCTTCCTGGGAAGCCTTGCTTGGGAATCTGCTCCTGGTAACGTTGCTTGGGAACCTTGCATTGCTGGGAACCTCTTCCTGGGAACCTTGCTTGGGAACCTATTCCTGGGAACCCTTGCTTGGGAACCTCTTCCTGAGAACCTTGCTTGGGAACCTCTTCCTGGGAACCCTTGCTTGGGAACCCTTGCTCGGGAACCCTTGCCCGGGAACCCTCGCCTGGGAACCCTTGCTTGGGAACTTGCTTGGGAACCTCTTGCTGGGAACCCTTGCTTGGGAACCGGTTCCTGGGAACCTTGCTTGCGAACCTTGCTGGTAACCTTGCTTGGGAACCTTGCCTGGGAACCTTTGTTGGGAACCTTGCTGGGAACCTCTTCCTGGGAACTTCTTCCTGGGAACCTCCTCCTGGGAACCTTGCCTGGGAACTTTGCTTGGGAACCTTGCTGGGAACCTCTTCCTGGGAACCTTGCTTGGGAACCTTGCCTGGGAACCTTGCTTGGGAACCTTGCCTGGGAACCTTGCTGGGAACCTCTTCCTGGGAACCTTGCCTGGGAACCTTGCTTGGGAACCTTGCCTGGGAACCTTGCTTGGGAACCTTGCTGGGAACCTCTTCCTGGTAACCTTGCCTGGGAGCCTTGCTTGCGAACCTTGCCTGGGAACCCTTGCCTGGGAACCCTTGCTTGGGAACTTGCTTGGGAACCTCTTGCTGGGAACCCTTGCTTGGGAACCGGTTCCTGGGAACCGGTTCCTGGGAACCGGTTCCTGGGAACCTTGCTGGTAACCTTGCTTGGGAACCTTGCTTGGGGAGCCTTTGGGGGGAACCTTGCTGGGAACCTCTTCCTGGTTGCTAGGAACCGTTGCTTGGGAACCTGTTCCTGGGAACCTTGCTTGGGAACCTCTTGCTGGGAACCCGGTTCCCAACCTTGCGCCGTGCCGATCTGGCTGCCCCGAGGGATTCTCCCGTAAAAGGAAAGTCCTCCCCGGAACCTTCCCCGGAACCCGGTTCCCAGCGGATTTGGCTGCTCCGACCTGCTCCGGAACCTTTACTATGGCTGAAGACCCCAAGCTTACGCTGTTGGGGAAAAATCCATGAAAATCATATCGATGGGAAGATCCATAGTTTTATAGTCTAAATGTTGCTTTGGATGGGAATACATGAGCCTCATCAGCTGGAAAAATCTGTTTTTGCTGGCTCTCTAAGATTTGCAATGTGCAACAGCAAAGATGCTCATGAAATATTGAATCAGACTCTTCATTCAACGCGATGGAGATAGGTTAGATGCATTTCAATAAACTATGGTTCCATTTGATTGCTAAGATCATGAGTACGACTCAGATCTACTCAGTAAATCTTTGTTTGCAATGAGAGTTGGATCTTGTTTGCCGGTAAAATCTTCAGAATACCCAATACTATCCAGGAGTCGTGATGCACTATGACCCATGATTATTTTGGGCGTGCAGAACTTTGTAACTTCAGAAGGATATTTCAGGCAGTGCAAATATATTTCGACGCGGGGTCACCTACAACTTTTCCATCTGGGATGTGAACATCTAATTCCTCGAGGACAGATGGTTTACAGCTGGTGACTGAAGAGGGGCGCTTGGGTGATGCCAAGAACTCCCCGACATGGCTATTTGAAGCGGAAAAAACATAATCAACCAATGAATTTAGAGGTGCCTGATTTTCAAGACAAATCTATGGTACTTATGGATTGTTTCCCAGCACACCGCATTTTTTCAGACCCAAACAACTGGATGACTGCCAAAAATTATTCAAAATCAATGCCCGGAACACGTCAGGAAAGTCGGAGACTGCAGCAGGACAGGGCTGGAGGTGGCCATGGAAGGGCCACGGGTTGACAGCCTAGGGCCGGGGATATATCTTCAGTTGGGTTTAAATAATAAGACAACTGTTAACTGAGGTGGATTATTGGGTTTAAATAATAAGACAACTGTTAACTGAGGTGGATTATTTTGTGGATGTTCCATTGCAATGGTACATGGATGAGCAGGCTTTTTTCGGCTTGACATGTGACATTGCCCCTGTCTCCAGCAGGTACTGACACACATTGATGTCTTCAACTGGTAGGTCTCTACGTTTTCGCACCCCCATGTTCATGGATTCGTCCCGCGTTTAACGCTCCCAACGTCGCCATGAACGAATGCTAATATCTCTTTATTGGTGATGATCTTCCGTTGCCTACGTTGCATTTAGGGAATCCAGAATTAGACGGGTCGAAACCCATGGTTTCCCTTGTGGTTGAATCCGGCTGATGAAATTCCCATTACATCCCATTTGTGGCCGCGGGTTGCCTTCTAGTGGTTTAGAATGGCAACCAATAGTTTCTGGTCAAATCACGGTCGTATCCCTATGTTTGATGACCCAACTGATCTCCATGAATCACCAACTGTTGATTGGCTAAAGCCTCATGTTCTTATGCTCAAACCCTTTTTCTGTTGGTGCCCCATAGTTGGCCAAAGTTGGGTGAGAACTCGGTCCAGGTTTCATACTGGCCATGTCTATAAAGATGGATGGTTTTAATATGTTTTTACAAAAACTTGTTTGGAGCTGGGCCCGAAACTTCAGGAGCTTGACGCAGCTCATTCAGAGACCAAGCGTCTTCAAGCGGAACTCGATGCTGCACGCTCCGGCGGTGTGCCCTCGGCGAACGAGGCACACGGGACGTTTGGACAGCTGGGTGGTGCTGTGGATGGGTTTTACCGCCATGAAACAAGAGGATCTACCTGGTCTACCCATCAAAAAATATCAAAAAAATAGTTTGTCCAGAATTTAAGCTGCAGGAATGGGAACACAGATAAAGCATGATTGTTTTTTGTTCCTGCGGTTGCACTTAAACTGATCACATGGAATTCTGATTAATCAAATGCGGGAAACGATTCATCTCGGAATCTTATATAGGACATTTCGGACCTAGGGGACTGGAGATCAGTTTCATGACCTTCCCTCGGTTATGCTTAGCCAGCTGCTTAGATGTTTATTCAGATGTTATATCGAAATGGTCAAAAGGTCAGATCAAAGACCCAAAAAATCGGCAATTTTCAAAGAGTTGCGGAAATTACACCTCCATAATTCGCTCTTCCCCAAAAACAGCTCCAATTTGGGATCATCAAACCATCCTGTTGAAGACGTGGCAGGAAATCCAGAAGCTGCGCAAGGACCACGGCCCTCATGGCGCAACAGTTGGAGTTGGTAGAAAATTGTGGGTTTTATCAGGAAGAAAAGATGAACAAATGGAAGTTTGACTTATCCTAGCCATTCTTCATATGGTGCCATGCCACCAGCAATTCGGTAGCGCAAGCGGTATCTCCCAGGGTATCTCTAGTGGCCCCGCTGCGGGTGATCACAGCCAGTATCTTTGTGTATTTATGTACATAAATACATATATATATGTGTGTGTGTGTATTTATTTACGTATAATTTTCATATATGTATATATAGTAGTAATAGTGAAAACAATAGTAGCAATAACCACAAACTCTCAGCATTTTCCTTACCCAATGACCCCTTGTATTGGTGTGATATTGCCGCAGCTGTCATTTGAGAAACCGACTGCCATAGCGACCTTGTCAAAGATGATGGATGATAAGGGAAATCAACCCAAACTGGGCTTACTTTAAACCCGGAGATCATCAAATATCATGTGTTCCTGTAGACAAGGTGCTCAAAGACCTGGAAACTTTGAGGTTAGCCACTTGAGACGGATACATCTCAGTACATCTCGATGTTTAGTTGTGAAGCTTCCAGTTGTTTGATAGTTTAGTTTTCCTGGTGAAATATCCGAAGTATCGGTTGCCATGATATTAGCATGTTGGTTTGTGTGAACCCCGCCAACATCCCTCCGAGAAAAGCGGCTCCATTTGACCGACATTTAGTTGCTCACACATATCCTGCCGACTCGCTAGGAGATTGAACGACTCAAATCCCAGGGAAGCGTCATTATTCAGGCAGAGGTCGGGACAGCAGGTACTGGAGTACAACGGCTAACTGGGCGGACTCACCAAGGGATAGGTGCAGACAAATTTACTTTACTATCTTGTGCTAGACATCCGGGCATTGTCCGCTCATCTCATTGGTGTTTCTGGTGTTGCTGCCAAAGAGCCCGCGTCAAGTCCACAGGAATGAAATAACTTGGCTGGTGAATTTTACACTTTCAATAAAGTTTTGTAACCATACCACTCAAATGTTCTTCTCTGACGGCTCGGATGGGGCTTACTGGCCACTTCTAGTAGGATCCAACCTCCTTCGATGAGGCTGCGCCCCAAGATTCCCAAGATATGGATGAGGACGGGGGGGGGCCACGGACCAGGCATGAAATGCATGAAATGCACCGGGGTGCCATGATCGAAAGTTAGTTTTTAACTGTGCAAAACATTACCAAATGAGGATTTGATGGGATATGCGGGTAAAGTAACCATTATTGACTGTGCTCAACAATTTTCTGATATTTGGATGTGCACCCAGTTCGTAAGTAGTGGCAGTTAATCCAGGTACAACCGATATAGAATTGGGGACCTTCCATTTAGAAATATGTATAAGTGCAATCGGGCCATGGAAGTTGAGATGGCCAGTAGCCACTGCTTGGGATGCAGCCCCAAGTACCATAGACATGTGAATAGGCCTGTAAATACTTCCAATTTACCAGCCATGGTGATGTTCACCAAGGCAGCAGGCTTCTGCATAGCCACCATGGCGTCACTCGAAAGGATGGTGTGTAGTGTACCCGGATATGGTGATAGGTAAGAAACAGGTCATGAAAGACCATAGACTTGCAGATAGATACAGATCTAAAATAGACTTCAGACCATGGGATAGATATGGGCCAAAAATATGGGCTTAATCTGCCATTTCTTTTTGGATCTTTGGTCGGTATCATTCTGACCAACAAGTCGTGCAGATCACGGGGTGCCCCCTGCAGGTAGGGATCGGTTTCTTTTTAGAACCTCATTTGGTGGTTGTTTCGGAAGTGCGTGTTTTTCCCAGTTTTTAAACATACTTGTGCTAAACGTAGGGAATTTTCGGGAATGATCCACAATAACTATTAATGTCATCATCCCAGCAACCCCCAGCAACCCCCAGCAACCCATCCAGCAACCCTGCGTAAAACGCACCAGTAAGTAAATGGGCTAGTCCTCTTAGGGGACGAACAAAAACCAAGGGTTTTGGCCACGGGGACGATCTTTTGGATGGTTTCACCAGAAGGAACATGGGGTGGAAGCTGCCTGAAAACAGACCACGATGGATGATATGGGAGCTATCACGGCACTGGAAAAGTAGGGTATTCAATAACTGGTTGGTGGTTTGGAACATGAATGGATTATAACTTTCCATATATTGGGAACAAGTTTATCCCATTTGACTTTCATATTTTTCAGAGGGGTGGCTCAACCACCAATCAGTTGGGCTTCGGAATGTGTGTGCCCACACCGAACTCGCCAGCTTTCAATCTTGCAGGCAGTGTCCTCCTCAAGACCCGAGGCTTGGAGTCAATGACGGCCTCATCAAAAGTGGCTGGTTGGAAAATCTACTGAACTCAATGGAGGCGTTAATGGATAAAGCATCTATAAATGGGGGATGCTCATTGCCAGCTTTGATTACTCGATGGCAATTGGCAAACGTTGGGAAAAAAACGAACACTATGCCAGCTAAAACGCCAGACAGAACGGCAGATAACATAGCATAAATGTTAAGGCACTTGCCAGATAGAATGCAAGGTAAAACCCAGATAGATTGCCAGAACGCCAGATTGAATGTCAGATAAAATGTCAAACCGAACTAGAATGTCAGATAGCATGCCAGATAAAGTGTCAAATCGAACTGGGATGTCAGATAAAATGCCGAACAGAATGCCAGATGGCAGGACAGACAAAATGTTAGGTAGGATGCCAGACGGACTGCCTGATAGAATGCTAGATAGAATGTCAAATAGAATGTCAAAATATATGTCAGATAGCGTGCCAGATGAAATCTCAGATATTATGTCAGGTCGTTTGTCAAATACGACGTCGAATGGAATGTCAAGATAAATGCCACGGCGGGGAACCCACGAAGTTATTTTGTATTTTGATGGTGGCACTATGCTTTGATATTACCACCACTCAATGTGTTCTGCGTTCAATTTGTTAAGCAGCTCGCCTCAAGTTATACCTGTTTGGGAAGCGCGCCCTATCGTGATACCTAAGGCATCCACATCATGGGAATGATTTTTACCCACGCCCAAATAGTTGAAATATCCCTCCTTTAGAAATTGGACATGGCAATTTTTTCCATACCCCACCCTTTCAGAAACCGGTTAGAATAAGTTGCACCAATACGTTTTGCACCCCTTCGGAAAGTAAAAGAACTACTTGCCACAAAAAAGGTATTCCCAAGCAAAATGGAAATAGTCTAATGTTTCTACAAAGAATCGGTTCAGGGCAGCGCTTGAAATACCCATCTTCCAATGGCAGCCAGGAAGCAACCACGGAATCTTGGCGAAGGGAATGGCTGGAGGGTTATCAGATGGTGATGTTTCTCTTTATTTGGCTGAGAAAGATGGTACCATTATTGTCGTAACAGCCATATATAACAAAAGTTAGTGTCTCTGTTGGTTACAAATAACATGATTTTCCATTGGCCCCAGGGCTAGCACCCAGAAAAGGACCAACAGACCTCCGTCTGAAGGCTGAAGGCTGCAGCTGTGACAAGATGTGTGTACTCCTCGATGCATCACGATGTTTGGGTTCAATCTTGAACATCTAAATGCCGGAGTGCACGCCTTCAGATGCTGCCCCCCATCCAAATGTCAAGGCCAGCGCTCGCATCGACGAAGAGGTGAAAGCGACCGCTTCGTCGACGCCCGAGGCCGAGAGAATCGCGGACAGCGACTCGCCAAATGTCACAGTGCGGGGTGAACTACTTGGATGGAACGCACCATGTCTATAGGCGTTTTATCCCTATTTTTTCGTGCTTAAAAACCCTGGTTTTACCCTGGTTTCACCCGTTATCTTCAACTGCATCCCTAAATCATATATGGGGATGACCGGGAAATATGGGGAACTAATTCGAGAACATGGAAGGCACGCCGCAAGTTTTAGTGGATTCGGAAGCTACCAGATTGACAAGTTGTAGCCAGCATGCGTGGGCATATCAAACAATCTGCGTACCAAAATGATAGCTCATGAGATGACCAATCCAAAAACGAAGGCTCAGCTGAGCCAGAAGCCGGGGCTCAACACCCATGAGATCAACACTATGGTCCGATCTTAAGCCATCCCCCGTTGCCATTGCCAGCCAAGGAGAGAAGCGGCATGCGGATGCCAAGAAGAAACACGAAGAAGAAGTGCAGCGCATGAAGAAGGATGGCGGGGCGCAAAAAGATATTGGACGTGATATGACAATAAAGTATGGGATATGATGGGACTTAATGGGATATGACGGGGCTGTGGTGTAACCAACAGTATGCCTGGATGGTGGCAGGCTCTTAGAGCATCATTAATTTCATGGGTTGAAGATGTTAAATGCTACTTGCTCGAAAACCGGGTCTATCACTGTGCTGGTTGCTTAGAGTATCATGCCACGAAGCGCAAATGGCAAGGAAGAAAGAGGAGCCATCTTGAACTGTATTGGATGGGGTAATTTAGAGGATTGGGCGGACTGGCTTCTTCAGCACGTACTGGGATGAGCCGCCAAGTAGTATGAACTGGGTAACATGGCAATCGATGACGGATGGTGGATGGACATGTTTCTACCCATATACTTCTTACTGGCGGTATAGCCCGCATTTTTGTTCAGAGATCTAGCGGCGGTTGCAGGTTGTTGTTGGTGGTAACATGTTGGGTCATGCCAGGTGATGTGGCGGATGTACACAGCCGCAAAATTAGTCTTAGCAGGATCCCGAGCCTTCATGAACATGATGAGAAATGATGACCATTGGTAATGGTAATCGGCTTACAGGTTGGGACTGGGTTGTCCAAGTTGAGAGTTGTTACTACATTGCTACATCTAACGGACCAGAAGAAACCCACCGTTCAAACAAGCAATCCCACTTGGCACCCTGTGCCATCTGTTCTGGTTCAAAAAAAAGTGGCCCACCGTTGGCAAACATCAGCAGCTACAGTTCATCCCACTGGATGTGCAACGGCACAGGAAGCCGCCGAACGGGGCGAACGTGCCAGTGAACAAGTGGCTGAGAAGATGTACCAGGAAGATACCACTGGGATTTTCTTGGGTAAACATGCCATAGGCTACTCATCAACCATCAACCTGTTGACCTTTGGAGTTGACATAAAGTTCATAAAGGGGTTATATCAAGGTATCATAAAAAAAGACTGGATGTAGTTGATAAATGATGGTCGATTGGTGAATTTCTTGGAGATTGTACGACCTGGTTTATTGGGGCTTATGCTAACCCAGAATGAGGGTGGCTATCTACCATGGTAAGATGACATGGGCTAAGGGCGGCTAAGGGTATTTCTCATGGCCTAGATGAAAAATATGGAGACGATAAAATGCGTGGAATGGCTACGACACGGGGTTCAAATCTTGGGAATGGCAATATGTTACCCATTGATTGGGGATCGAAGCCTTGGAAAAAAAAAGCGTGGGATATATGATTTTTTACAGATTGTATCATGAAAACCCCTTGAGATGTCTATATTCTGTGGGATTTCACGGGTAAATGATACAGATATAGTATAATAGAATACCGATATGTACTATATGACCTATATTCTGTGAGATGTCTCTATAGTATTATTCTGTATGATTTTATTGGTACATGCGAACGATGCGAATGATGCTATGTGGATCATGGGCGAACATGCTTCGGCCCCCCAACAGGGAACAAAAAACAAACACTCTTCTGGGTTGGGCACCTTGGATTTCCCTGATAGGATGAGAATGATTCTAGCGGGGGTGCAGATCAAAATTGAATGCCTATTCGGGACCACAGATGTTTGTTTTTTCGTGGGCCCATGCCCATCCCCTATGTAGGTCATTACGCTTGAAAATGGCAACCTTTAC